CCTCGCAGCTCGCTTCCAGTGGGGTCACCGTGGGGGGGGCGTGAGGGACCTCGCAGCTCTCTTCCAGTGGGGTCACCGGGGGGGGGTGAGGGATCTCGCAGCTCTCTTCCAGTGGGGTCACCGTGGGGGGGGCGTGAGGGACCTCGCAGCTCTCTTCCAGCGGGGTCACCGTGGGGGGGGGGGGTGAGGGATCTCGCAGCTCTCTTCCAGTGGGGTCACCGTGGGGGGGGGGCGTGAGGGACCTCGCAGCTCTCTTCCAGTGGGGCCACCATGGAGGGGGGGGGGGGGCGTGAGGGACCTCGCAGCTCTCTTCCAGCGGGGTCACCGTGGGGGGGGCGTGAGGGACCTCGCAGCTCTCTTCCAGCGGGGTCACCGTGGGGGGGGCGTGAGGGACCTCGCAGCTCGCATCTGTCGTGTCATCCCCGGGCAGGGCACCCAGCCTGTACCCAGCCTTGTCCTCTCTACCCAGCCCACCAGTGAGTAGAAACCCGGTGCTGGCCTGCTCTGGGGATGTTCAAAGCAGTTTCCACACTCAGGCTGCGATTAGGGGCGACAGCTTCGGCCAGGGAACCACAGCATGCTCGCTGTTCCTAGGAGCTGTGTGGAGGTACCAGGTGCCCAGGCCTGTACCTGTGCCCAGCACTCTGAGTCCTGGCTCTGCTGTCCTGGCCATTCTGGGACCATGGGTGGGTCAGACCTCACCAGGTCCTGCATGAGAGGGGACAGTTGCATGACTGTGTGCAGCATTGTAGTACGTGTACTTGATTTGGGGGGCTGGGCACCCTGCAGAGCCCTGGCCCCCTATGAGAAGCCTGGCACGTGGTATCCGGAAGGTGTGGAGTGGGGTGCACTGCCTGTGCTTTTATCAAAAGGAAGTTGGGGAAATATTGATCCAATTCCCACTGTGAACCAGCCAGCACTACCTCAGACCAAAATGGGGCATGCACGCATGCGCACATACCATACACACACACGCACACACACACACGCACGCATACACACACCCCTGTGCAGGGAGTGTCTTCTCCACAGCAGACTCAATTCTCCCACTCCCCACACAGCCGCACGCGGATGTTTTATGGGATCACCCACTGACTTAAAAGCAGGGCTCCTGCTCCACTGCTCGGAATTCTGTGCTCTGCACGGATGAGTGGGCTAAGTAATAGAGAAAGGTGATCAATTATAACTTGGTGCATACAGATGGGGTGAGGATGATTACATTCTTCCCATTGCTCTCTCTCCCTCTTTACCCTCCACCCCCCCTTCAGGAAAAAAAAGTGATCATTTAAAGGCTGCCCTGGGTCTGTGTGCATTATTCATCTCTCCCTTGCGAGTGGCGCTGGGACGGAACACGGTTTCTTGGTGACATTGAGCGGCCCCTGGGGACCTCACCCAGAGTCACAGTCAATCACACAGAGAACAGCCGGTACAAGAGCTGGGCAGGCAGAGCCACGGAAGCAAACAAGGGCCCAGACCCGGCGCCTTCCATCACGGGGACTTGGGGTGCTCCCCACCTCCCACCGCGGGGACTTAGGGTGCTGCCCACCTCCCACCGCGGGGACTTGGGGTGCTGCCCGCCTCCCACCGCGGGGACTTGGGGTGCTGCCCGGTTTTTGAGCATAATTTGGGGGCCTACAACGTCCAGAGGAGATTGAAGAGTATCTTCCCCTCGCCCCTGTCCACCATCTTTCCCTGAAACTCCAGTATCAAGCTGGAGGATGCTGTCACACGGTCCCTGGAACGAGAAAGGACAGCTGGGTTCGAGACAGGGCTGGAGAGCCTTCTAGAAGGACCCACCAGGCCCAGACACGTTAACCTGAAAGGATTGCGGGGCTCCATCCTGGCCCGGCCTGGCCCTCTTGAGTCCATGCTGACCCGGGAGCACAGGATCTCCACGAGGCCGCATCCAAGCTCTAAAGTGAAGCTCCTGGCGGGAGTGTCCAGCAGGGGCTAGCATGCCAGCCAGGGACCGTTCCTTGCCTCAGTTTCCCCCTGAGGAAACTGCCATGCAGTTACTGGAGACAGAGGATGCACACGGCCCACATAGATGAGCGCCACCTGACCCGCCCACGGCCACGGAGGGGAAGGGCAGCGGAGCCAGCACGGGCCACCTGGGCACGGGTTCTAGGCTCAGGCAGCCGATGTCCACGCGGTTCTCTGAGGGTCAGCGAGCATGCCCCGGTAGAAGATGTCACCTCACAACACAGCCTGCAGAGAATGAGACATCCCGTGGAAAACAGGCCACAAAGGAAAATGGCAGAGAGACAATTTAGGGCTTTGCAAATGAGTCTGGATTCTGAGTAACGGCTTCCAGTCGAAGGACAGGCTGGAGCCATGACCGGAGGCCAGGGAGCGGGAGGTGGCCTCACCACTGGCCGCAGGCTGCCCTCGGCGCCGTGGCCAGCAAACCTGGTGCAGACTCAAGGAGGGATGAAGATGCGGAGCGGACGCATGGAGACCTAGGGGAAAGGCAGCAGTGCTCCCAGGGGAACGGCTGCAGACCCAGCCTCTCCTCCTCTGACAAGCACAGCTATCTGCGCAGCCTCGGCCAGCCGGGCCCCAGAGGCCAGCAGGGAGGGTGAAGCCGCGTGTCAAGCTCACGTGCTTCGTGTACACGCGCAGGCCCATCCACCTCCGTATGAGCACAGATACGAGTTCACACGCATGGACCTGCCCTGCCCTGCCCTGCTGTGACGGTACAGGTGGCCTTCGCATCCTCACCCAACACACCCGCATCGTCACTGAGGAGCGTGGAACCAAGCGTGACAGGTGTCCTCTGTGTGGCGGGCAGTGTGCGGTTCATCATCGCTGCACTTAGGCACGGGTGTCTGTGATGATCTGTGACACTCAGCAGAGCACACCAGGCGCCCACCAACCGCCACGGACGCTGGCCTTCCACAGAAGTGGGCGTGCCTTCCAGCAGAAGCCGGTGCGGCTCTGGCATCGCCTCTCACCAGATTGTTACTACATTTGTCTCACAGCTTTAAAATAGTAGCAAATACGTGCCATTTATTTAAACAACACTAGGGAAATTAATGCCGTGCAAGCCTTTCCTAAGCACATGAAGATGGAGCAGGCTGTGTTCACGGCTGTCGGGCCCGCTGCACGCTGCTGAGGCTGAGGTGCAGAGCCCCAGGCTGTGGTGGCAGGGATGCTGTCCTGCAGAGGAGGGGCCCCCCCAGGCTCCTCCCACCACCTCAGCACAGACCAGCCACTTGCCAAGTCTCACTGGCTGTCCACAGCAGACAGACCTACTAACCCTTCCCTGCCTTGGATGCCTGGCCAGTGCCGTTATTGCTGGTACTGAGGTTTGAACTCAGGGCCTCAGGCTTGCCAGGCAGGTGCTCTGCCACTTGAGCCATGCCATTGGCTCTTTTTTGCAAAAAAAAGATTGTGTGTGTGTGTGTGTGTGTGTGTGTGTGTGTGTGTGTGTGTGTGTAAGTTGGGTCTGCAGACTTTTGGGAAAAGGCAGTGGAAAGGACTCTGCCCACAGAGGGCAGGGGTGAGCCCATCAAACGCCCCGGCCTGGTCTGTTACAGCCGAGGTGAGACCCCACCATGACTGAGGCGAAGCTGATGCCCCCCCCGCCCGCCCGGTCCCTCTGCCTGGGCCATCCGAGCGCCTGTCTGCTCTCCAAACCAACATTCTGTGTGCAGTATGACCTTCGGAAAACACTGAAGGTGAACAGAACCAAGCAAGATAAGTGGCGTGAAGCCTGCTGTGGATGAAGAGGAGCAGAGCCTGGGTAATGGTGTTTCCTCCCGTTGCTTTCTCCATCCATGGCTCACGACACCACATCCTCTGGCGCCCTTTCTGCACTTACTAACATTTCACGGATGCACATGGGTGTCAGCATCTTCAACGGGCAGCTTTAAGGACTCCGGTGCCCCAGACGGAGCACCTGTTACCTTCAGGCATCTGGACTTCCCCGGGGGTTTTCACTCTGGTGAAAGCATCTGCAGTGCACACCTTTAGAGACACACCCTTGTCGGGCCTCAGTGGGACCGATGGGCAGCCGAGCGGCTGAGCGTTGCCGAGGGTGGAGCCACGGGGACACCGGCCTCACTGCGGTGGTTCGGCATGCCTTCACTGGTATCTAGGGTGCAGAAATATGGTGACTCGGCCCCGCACCCTGTGGCTCTCTGGATGCAAACAGCACTAGGTGGCAGATCTTCCACGCGTACCCCACCCCCTCCTCGGAGGAGCACAGCACCCTCCCCCCAGGAGGATTAATTTTGCTTCCTCTAGTTAATTTCATAGGTGAAAAGGATTTAGCACTTGAATTTGCATCTTTGATTCGAGAAGACGTGAACCTTTTTCCTAAGCGTATTGATCGGTAACATTCATGTGGCTGTAAATCGTCTATTCATGTCCTTTACCTGTCATGAAGAAAAGATTCCACTTTTTATCTTACCAGTCGGTGAGGGTGCCTCACGTGGAGGCTATTAACTCTGCCATGATTTTCCTGTTACCCTCCATGGGAGTATGTTTTTATACATAGGAGATTTAGGTTAAAATGTGTCCATCTTTTCCTTTGTGGTTGCTTCCGTTGCTTTTGGATTTTAAGGCCCTAATCTGGCTCAGCAGCAATACACGAGGCCCTGATCCAAGGCCCAGCACCAAAACAAAGTTAAAAGGGAATAAAAGCCCTTATCCACACTACTGTGGAAGGAGCCAGCTGCATGTCCTCCCTTTCAGGGGTTCCTTCCTGCTGTTTATCCTGTGATCAGCGCTAGACACACCTGTTGGTGGATGACGTCTCTTGTTTGGGACAGGGCCTCGTTGTGTGGCCTGGACTGTCCTCCACCTCAGCCTCCTGAGCACTGGGACTACAGGCGTGCACTACTACACTCAGCTTCAAGTGATTCTTTTTTCCTGACACTGTGTGTTATGTGTCTTTTCTTTATTGATCCCAGCTAACACAGATTAACAGAGGCTTGTGGGGGTTTGTTCCCTTTGTGCAGAATTAACCAGACTTCTTTGATTCTTCTCCTCTGCAGAAAGGGCAGACGAGTGTGGTTCTGGCCCCCTCTCAGCCCCCTCGGGACATGCTGCTGCCGTGGGCCCAGCCCCAGAGCTCCAGAGGCCTGAGGCGGCAGAAGCGGGACTGGGTCATCCCCCCCATCAACGTGCCGGAGAACTCGCGAGGCCCCTTCCCGCAGCAGCTTGTGAGGGTAAGTGCCCACCCCCTTCCAGGGGAAAGGCAGCTATCTTCCTGGGTGCTTTGGGGCAGGGCGCCAGGGCCCAGGAGGGGGGACAGGAAACCTCCCTGGCCCCACCCACCCTCTTGAGTTTGGGGAGCCTTCTCTCTGGGTCGCTTACGGATCGCCATCTTGTGTGTGAAGCAGGGGTGGAGGGGGGGGCCAGGGAGGGAGGGCCTTGACCTCTGACCTCTGCCTGAGGTCCAACTGTCTCCACTGTTCCCTGTGAATTGGTGGCATGTTGAGATCTTGCAGGTGTGCAGATGAGGCCCAAGACACAGGACTGTTCTGTGGCCATGTTGTTCTTTGTTGGGCTGTTCCATGGCCAGGCTGTTCTGTGGTGGACTGTTCCATGACCGCATTGTTCTGTGGCCATGTTGTTTTGTGGCCGGCTCTCCCGTGGCCGGGCCCTCCCGTGACCGGGCCCTTCCGTGTTGCTCCACACGCTCACGCAGGGCCACTGCCCCCAGCAGCCACCAAGGGTGCTTTTTTCTACAGATGGAATTCATCTTACAGATTTGTATGTCTATAATCAAGACCATCAACTGGCATTTTCTTCTTCCCCTTAAAGGAAATTGCAACTAACTCTGATGGTAATTTGATGCAGTGATGGTGGGAATTGTATCAGATAACTTCCATCCTCTGTGGCAAAGCCTCACCCCTGCCCACCACTAGGCGCGAGGGTCCCTGAGCCTTGCACAGGGCTGCCTTCCTCACACGGATGAGCCTGGTCTGTGTTTCTCGCTTCTGCTGCTGCACGGGCCAGTCTGGTATTGGAGCGCAGATGCGCTGTCCGAGCCCCAGCCCCGCTCTCCCCTCCCTGGCCGCGAGCCTGGTAGGCAGGTTATGCAGAGCAGAAACTCTAGTGTTGGCGCACGTGGCGTGAGCGCGCAGGCCCATGTGCACGGAGGCCAGAGCTGCGTCCCCTGCCCCGGGGCCGCCTCACAGATGGGGCTGGCGCAGTACCCACACCTGCGCTGCCCCTCAGGCTTCTGGGCTTGGGGGGGCAGCTTTCAGGGGACACACACACCACACGCCCAGGCCCCTGGCCAGGCCCTGTCCACACCGATGCTAACAATGACCCTCGTGCTGTGGCTGGTGACAGGGCCGTGGGCTGCACCACAGCCACAGCCTCCACACCCCGAGGTATTGTCTCTATCTGGCTGTCTTCTACAGCACATGGTTCTCGTTTGCTTACTTAAGGTGACTCATCTGCATTAAAAATAAGCTCATTCAGAAGAGGCTTCCTACCTGACAATGCCTAGCACCGTGTGTTCTTTGTGAAGAAGTTAGTCTTTACAGCAAAAAAAGGCAAAGAAAACAGAGCTGAGGAGTCCTCCCTCAGACCTGGAGGCCACCCTGGGAGCGTGCAAGGGGAGATGCAAGGGGAGATGCAGTGTGAGCGTGCAGAGGGAGATGCAGTGTAAGCATGTGAGGGGAGATGCAGTGTGATAGTGTGAGGGGAGATGCAGTGTGAGCGTGTGAGGGGAGATGCAGTGTGAGAGTGTGAGGGGAGATGCAGTGTGAGCGTGTGAGGGGAGATGCAGTGTGAGAGTGTGAGGGGAGATGCAGTGTGAGCGTGTGAGGGGAGATGCAGTGTGAGCGTGTGAGGGGAGATGCAGTGTGAGAGTGTGAGGGGAGATGCAGTGTGAGCGTGTGAGGGGAGATGCAGTGTGAGAGTGTGAGGGGAGATGCAGTGTGAGCGTGTGAGGGGAGATGCAGTGTGAGCGTGCAGAGGGAGATGCAGTGTGAGCGTATGAGGGGAGATGCAGTGTGAACGTGCAGAGGGAGATGCAGTGTGAGCGTGTGAGGGGAGATGCAGTGTGAGCGTGCAGAGGGAGATGCAGTGTGAGCGTGCAGAGGGAGATGCAGTGTGAGCGTGCAGAGGGAGATGCAGTGTGAGCGTGCAGAGGGAGATGCAGTGTGAGCGTGTGAGGGGAGATGCAGTGTGAGCATGCAGAGGGAGATGCAGTGTGAGCGTGCGAGGGGAGATGCAGTGTGAGCGTGTGAGGGGAGATGCAGTGTGAGCGTGTGAGGGGAGATGCAGTGTGAGAGTGTGAGGGGAGATGCAGTGTGAGCATGTGAGGGGAGATGCAGTGTGAGCGTGTGAGGGGAGATGCAGTGTGAGCGTGTAGAGGGAGATGCAGTGTGAGCGTGCAGAGGGAGATGCAGTGTGAGCGTGCAGAGGGAGATGCAGTGTGAGAGTGTGAGGGGAGATGCAGTGTGAGCATGTGAGGGGAGATGCAGTGTGAGCGTGCAGAGGGAGATGCAGTGTGAGCGTGCAGAGGGAGATGCAGTGTGAGTGTGCGAGGGGAGATGCAGTGTGAGCGTGTGAGGGGAGATGCAGTGTGAGAGTGTGAGGGGAGATGCAGTGTGAGCGTGTGAGGGGAGATGCAGTGTGAGCATGTGAGGGGAGATGCAGTGTGAGTGTGCGAGGGAGATGCAGTGTGAGCATGTGAGGGGAGATGCAGTGTGAGCATGTGAGGGGAGATGCAGTGTGAGAGTGTGAGGGGAGATGCAGTGTGAGCGTGTGAGGGGAGATGCAGTGTGAGCGTGTGAGGGGAGATGCAGTGTGAGCGTGTGAGGGGAGATGCAGTGTGAACGTGCAGAGGGAGATGCAGTGTGAGCGTGCAGAGGGAGATGCAGTGTGAGAGTGTGAGGGGAGATGCAGTGTGAGCGTGCAGAGGGAGATGCAGTGTGAGAGTGTGAGGGGAGATGCAGTGTGAGCGTGTGAGGGGAGATGCAGTGTGAGCGTGCAGAGGGAGATGCAGTGTGAGCGTGCAGAGGGAGATGCAGTGTGAGAGTGTGAGGGGAGATGCAGTGTGAGTGTGCGAGGGGAGATGCAGTGTGAGCGTGTGAGGGGAGATGCAGTGTGAGCGTGTGAGGGGAGATGCAGTGTGAGCATGTGAGGGGAGATGCAGTGTGAGTGTGCGAGGGAGATGCAGTGTGAGCATGTGAGGGGAGATGCAGTGTGAGCATGTGAGGGGAGATGCAGTGTGAGAGTGTGAGGGGAGATGCAGTGTGAGCGTGCAAGGGGAGATGCAGTGTGAGCGTGCAGAGGGAGATGCAGTGTGAGAGTGTGAGGGGAGATGCAGTGTGAGAGTGCGAGGGGAGATGCAGTGTGAGCATGTGAGGAGAGATGCAATGTGAGCATGCAGAGGGAGATGCAGTGTGAGTGTGCAGAGGGAGATGCAGTGTGAGCGTGCAGAGGGAGATGCAGTGTGAGCGTGCAGAGGGAGATGCAGTGTGAGAGTGTGAGGGGAGATGCAGTGTGAGCATGCAGAGGGAGATGCAGTGTGAGCGTGCAGAGGGAGATGCAGTGTGAGCGTGCAGAGGGAGATACAGTGTGAGAGTGTGAGGGGAGATGCAGTGTGAGTGTGTGAGGGGAGATGCAGTGTGAGTGTGCAGAGGGAGATGCAGTGTGAGCGTGCAGAGGGAGATGCAGTGTGAGCATGCAGAGGGAGATGCAGTGTGAGCGTGTGAGGGGAGATGCAGTGTGAGCGTGCAGAGGGAGATGCAGTGTGAGAGTGTGAGGGGAGATGCAGTGTGAGCGTGCAGAGGGAGATGCAGTGTGAGTGTGCAGAGGGAGATGCAGTGTGAGCATGCAGAGGGAGATGCAGTGTGAGCGTGCAGAGGGAGATGCAGTGTGAGAGTGTGAGGGGAGATGCAGTGTGAGCGTGCAGAGGGAGATGCAGTGTGAGCGTGCGAGGGGAGATGCAGTGTGAGCGTGTGAGGGGAGATGCAGTGTGAGCGTGCAAGGGGAGATGCAGTGTGAGCGTGCAGAGGGAGATGCAGTGTGAGAGTGTGAGGGGAGATGCAGTGTGAGCATGCAGAGGGAGATGCAGTGTGAGCGTGCAGAGGGAGATACAGTGTGAGAGTGTGAGGGGAGATGCAGTGTGAGTGTGTGAGGGGAGATGCAGTGTGAGTGTGAGGAGGGAGATGCAGTGTGAGCGTGCAGAGGGAGATGCAGTGTGAGCGTGCAGAGGGAGATGCAGTGTGAGAGTGTGAAGGGAGATGCAGTGTGAGCGTGCAGAGGGAGATGCAGTGTGAGTGTGCAGAGGGAGATGCAGTGTGAGCATGCAGAGGGAGATGCAGTGTGAGCGTGCAGAGGGAGATGCAGTGTGAGAGTGTGAGGGGAGATGCAGTGTGAGCGTGCAGAGGGAGATGCAGTGTGAGCGTGCAGAGGGAGATGCAGTGTGAGAGTGTGAGGGGAGATGCAGTGTGAGCGTGCAGAGGGAGATGCAGTGTGAGTGTGTAGAGGGAGATGCAGTGTGAGCGTGCAGAGGGAGATGCAGTGTGAGCGTGCGAGGGGAGATGCAGTGTGAGCGTGTGAGGGGAGATGCAGTGTGAGCGTGCAAGGGGAGATGCAGTGTGAGCGTGCAGAGGGAGATGCAGTGTGAGTGTGTGAGGGGAGATGCAGTGTGAGCATGCAGAGGGAGATGCAGTGTGAGCGTGCAGAGGGAGATGCAGTGTGAGTGTGCAGAGGGAGATGCAGTGTGAGCGTGCAGAGGGAGATGCAGTTTGACAGTGTGCGGGGAGATGCAGTGTGAGCATGCAGAGGGAGATGCAGTGTGAGCGTGAGAGGGAGATACAGTGTGAGAGTGTGAGGGGAGATGCAGTGTGAGTGTGTGAGGGGAGATGCAGTGTGAGCGTGCAGAGGGAGATGCAGTGTGAGAGTGTGAGGGGAGATGCAGTGTGAGTGTGCAGAGGGAGATGCAGTGCGAGAGTGTGAGGGGATATGCAGTGTGAGCGTGCAGAGGGAGATTCAGTGTGAGCGTGCAGAGGGAGATGCAGTGTGAGCGTGCAGAGGGAGATGCAGTGTGAGAGTGTGAGGGGAGATGCAGTGTGAGCGTGTGAGGGGAGATGCAGTGTGAACGTGCAGAGGGAGATGCAGTGTGAGCGTGTGAGGGGAGATGCAGTGTGAACGTGCAGAGGGAGATGCAGTGTGAGCGTGTGAGGGGAGATGCAGTGTG